TTTAGTCTTTGTAAGTGTAATTAGAACCTAATAAACATTAGGGGGTCGACATGGGTGACTAATCAGTTTCGACTAAACCCTCCTGTTCTCTCTTTCTCTTGTCTTCTTCCTCATCTTCTTCTTCCTTCTTCACTGGTTTGGGTTACTGTAGCTGCTCCAAAACAACTCTCATATTAGCAAAGTGATCATTTAGACTAGCCCCTTGAACCTGGACAAGTCTCCTGCTTTCTTCACTACTTACCAAGGCATAGGCTTGAGACAGTGAAACACTATCCTTGGATAAAATATTTTGCTTTGTAATGTCATACTCTAGATTCAGCCCTGTCAAAAACTCAAACACCCTGTTTCTCTCAACAAGTTTCCTGTAGGTCTCAACATCAATAGTGGTGTCCCAGGCTACAACTTCTATCAAATCAATTTCTTGCCATAAAGACTTCAGTATTGAGAAATAAACAGCCAACGGTTTCCTGTCTCAAATTCTTCACATTACTTCTCAGCTTGTAAACCCTGGCCACATTAAATTTCTAGGAATAGGTTTTAACAACACTATCCCAAATTTCCTTTGTTGAATTCATCCACAAATAGTGCTAACTAATCTGCGGTTTCATTGAGTTCACAAGCCATCTAATAACAATATAATTTTCTTGCATCCATTTTTCATATGATGGATCATCTTTCGAAGGAGCCTTCTTGCTCTCGGAGATAAAACCCCATTTGCCTCTACTGCATATATGAATTTTTACTGATTGTGACCAAGCCAGATAATTAGTTCCATCCAGCTTGAATGTGGTCACAACTAGTAGAGAGTCTACAGAGGCTCTCGGAACTTGTCCGGATTCAACAACATGCTTGTTTTCAACTTCTGAAGGGTTCATCTTCTTAAATACTTTGAAAATAACTTCTAACAACTTCAAATAACAACAAATCAACAAAAACTGTGTTGTGAGCCAACCTCTATGCAGCCGTACCAGCTACCTGCATCACACCCGAAAGTTGGGAGAAACAGAGAAATCTCAGTTGCTCCTTGTAGACTTCACTGAACACCGATCCACTTGATTCGATCTTCAAGATGAAGGATGAGAGGACTTTCAGTCATTGAGCGCCCAAGTCAAACTCCCTGTGGGGCCCGTAATCAGATTTCTCCAGAAAATTAGGGTTTCAGGCAGCATACTTGAATCTGTTAGGAGGACGACAAAACCAGTCCCCTTCTCTCCAGAAACCACTAACAACTGGGCTGAAATAGGTTTCTTTAACTATTCATACGATTCAGTTCTCCATATACACTGTGTATGGGAAAAAAAGAGGTGAAAAAAGGGAAAAGTCAGTCTGCTCTGATACCAAGAAGATAAACAGCCTTTTGAAAAGAAAGGACTGTTTAAAAAGTTGCAAAAAATCAAAAGAAAGTAGCAGAAGTTGGGTTTTAAGAAGAGAGAAGAAGAAGAAGAAGGTGGCGGCAACTAGGGTTCAAAGAGAGATTTTTGAACATAACCTTCTCTCTTACACCCCTAATTCCATTTCATTAAGTTAAACTTTAATAATTTACAGAGAGGCCCCTAGTTGGGCAAAAAATTAAAAAACATAACACAAGAAAGAATAAAGCCCAAATTAAGGCCCATTACAGCAAAGAACAAAAAATAAAAAAAAGGGATAAACATCCTATGGGCCATTCGTCCCATCTCTACAATTCACAAAAGGATGAAATATATCTGATCTCCTACCCACAGGACACTAAAGCTGTACATTGGGAACATATTCCGTATTTACATGTTACCATTCATGGGGAGATGTTCCCAATGTACAGCTGTAGTGTTATGTGGGTTTGATCCTTGTGAGTAGGAGATCCGAACTTGGATGAAATATGGTTTTTACACTTAATAGCATGTTTTCCCATATACCATTGGTAGTCATTCAATGCAATAGGTCCTAAGAATTTTGGTGCTTCTGTATGCTACTGGATGAACTAAAATAATGCAAAGCTACCCATCCATTAAAAGAACTATAATTTTTATATTTTATTTTTGGTGATTTTGCAGAGGTTTTGAAGGAGCTTCTGAATTCTTTTCCTCACTTAGCCATGACAACGGATGCAGCCAACTCTACTGCTTTGCACACAGCTTCCAGTCAAGGTCACATTGGTGTTGTCAATCTCCTACTGGAAAATGATTCAAACCTTGCAAAGATAGCTAAAAGCAATGGTAAGACTGCCCTCCACTCTGCAGCAAGATTGGGGCACTTGAATGTGGTGAAATCCTTGATAACGAAGGACCCAAATACTGGTTTTAGGACTGATAGGAAGGGGCAAACTGCATTGCACATGGCAGTGAAAGGGCATAAAGAAGATATTGTGCTTGAATTGATTAAACCTGATCCCTCTGTCATCAATTTGGAAGATAACAAGGGGAACACAGCATTGCATATTGCAACTACGAAAGGCCGCCCTAAGGTGGGTTCCATTTAACATTACAGTTTTGGGTGTTTATTTTTTGCAAAATGCTGAACTCCTTTTGATTTCTTTTTGCTCCATTTATGTTTATGAAAAACATGAAGAGCTTCAACTTTTTATGTCCTGTAAGAGGCACATGATGGATCCATATACATGAGGAGAAAAAGAAAAACAAACTGGACACGATAATTCAGAGAAAGCTTTTTGGTATCTTGATGCTTTTCTTTTTAACCTTTAGGACAAATATGAAGAACTTCAATTTTTTATGTTCTATGAGATGCACATAGGGGAGCCATATATACAAGGAAAAAAGAAAAAGAAACTGGACATGATAGTGCATGGGTAGAATTTAATATAATATATTTAATTATGAGGAAGAAAGGATTTTCTGTTTAAGATCACCCAATAAGTAATATATCCAGGCTATGATTTGGAAAATTTATGAGCTCATTGACCATTGATTGATGATTCATTTAAACTTTTGATCTGTACTGTATGTAGAAAAGGGGTATTGCCATTCTGTTATTAATTAATAGAACAAATAGTTCTACCAAAGCTAAGAAATATATAATCCTCTACTTTCCAAAAGAAACAGATCCAGGAAAATTCAAAGAAACGCAATCCAGAAACAAAATGCATCACAGATGCTCAAGAAAACTGTATCAGCTTTTAGGACTACATTATATTGTTCTGGCCTAGGAACACCCCAGTACAAATCAGTCCCTCCTGCCTGACCCCTTGTTAAGTTGTCTGCTAGAGAATTTGCTGATATCTGTATGTATCTGAATGAGGTGTTAATTCTAGATGCCAGAGCTCTAGCGCCTCTAGCACAATGCCTGTAGTCATTGTCCTTCGCTTCCATCCCATTTACACGCATTCTTTTTATTATTTATGCTAACATTTATATGCATTCACAACTCAAATACTATTTTTAGAAACATATTGATCTTTCTTTTTCTTTGGGCGTTTTTCATTCTTTGGGGGCAGGCCCTTTGGGGGGTGGGGGGACCTTCAAATTTTGGGTAAATAACAAGCACTAAGATATGGCTTGAAAAGCTTACTTAAAGAGGTAGCCTTTTCCTCCTGAAGGACCAGAACTACCATGTTTTTTTTATCTCTATGTAGTTTAATATTTTTTGTGTCTCCATAATAAGCAAAAGATAGTTAATCTTTAAGTGATGATAGAAAAACAAAATCATAAACATTTATACCAGATTCTAATGATTTCTATGCCTTAAAGACTTAAGTTGCAAGTTTATGGCTCAAATCTAATTGTGGAGCAGTAGGAAGAAATGTAACTCTTTTATGCCTCAAACCTTGTGCTCAAAAAGCAACTTTTCCTCCTAAGTACTTTTGAAGCAATGATCAAATTTCTTCTCACCAAGCTTTACACCTAACCCTTAGAATATAGTTTTGTTGCTGGATCATTATTATTATTTGATCAGCAACACAGAAAACTAGTCATTCATTAATACACTAACATTTTAAAAGAAAAAAGTGCAACAAGTTGTGCGAGACTAGCAAACCCATTACAAACTAGCCACCCAATACTGTATTACAATTGTGCCCAGTACGTATGTTGTCTTTGAAGTTTGAACCCCTTGCTTAGCTAAACCATCTGCCAAGCTGTTAATAGATTTTCTAACCCATCTTACTTGAATGTTCACGTCTTTTAACAACCATTTGAAGTGCCTGAATTCATTTCTAAGCTGTCAAACTACCCCCTCACCTTTTTTTCAATCATCCCACTACTATCTCCAAATCATCTTCAATAATCAAACTACCAGTTCCTATCTCCTTAGCTTTCTCAACCCCAAAAACTGCTGCTAGAAACTCTGTTCTTACCTAATCACCTCATGCAATTGGGCCCTAATATAAGGCACAAATAATAACACCCTCATCTCTAATCAACCCTATAATTCCTGAAGGGCCTGGATTGCCTAAACTACTTCCATCAAAATTCAGTTTCATTCAACCATCCATTAGGGGGTGACCAAACCTCTAGGATTTTTTGTTTCCTAGAGGAAGAGCCAGCTATCGCGCCTCAACTCCTGAAGAAGTCCTCCATTTTGAAGTTTGAAAAGAGTTTCAAGGACTTGTTGCTAAATCTTGAACTGCATAATTTTCTATGGGGGAAAAAAACTTATAGTGAGATAATATTTTTGAATCAAGAAATGAAAGTAGAAAAGAGAAACCCATTGAAAGAAAAAAAAAAGAATAGAAATAGTACCTGTTTTCACAGTTAAGTCACTTGACAAAGGCTTGATTTTGGCTTTTATTTTGTTTTATTTTTTATTGGAAACGGTAACTTCATTAAAGCAAATTAAAGTAATATCAAATACAACTGTCAAACTTCTGAAATAGGGTGTTGATCCCAAGGTAACCCTTTATTACAACATTGCCCAGAACAGATTCTCCCTCATAGTCCCTTGTTTAGCTAAGTTATCAACTGTCCATTAGCAACTTAGAGTTCCCTTCTATCTCAATTTGGTGTGACCCTAACTGTTTGGCATATCTTACACCTTGGAGCAAAGTCACCACCTCTTCTCTCAACATAGCAAAAATTTTACCATATCCATCTCTGAATACTCCCCCTATACTCGAAGGGTCCAGATTTCCTCTAGAGCTCCCATCAAAGTTCAACTTCATTCTTTGTTGTGTTGGTGGAGACCATGGTTCCCTCACAATGGGTATCAGGGAAGTTGTAGTTGCTACCTTTCTCTAATCCTTGTATATGTCCTCAGTTGAGAAGTCTTTTGAACAAATCAACTGATTTCAACCAGTGAATAACCATAATAGATATTCTTTCTACAATTTCCTCCTTAGATTTCTCCACTCCATTAAACATCCTATTGTTTCTTTCTTCCCAGACTGACCAGAGAATAGCTACTCTTCTGGCTGTCCACATAATTCTTTCGTGCCTCTTCGTTTTCCTGAAAAAGCTTGGGTTAAATAGGCTTACCATGTCTGAGGGAGGTGTCCACCTACAGCCAAAGATAGAGGAGAACTTGATCCAAATAAAGAATACAAAGGAAATTAGTAGATGTGTGATTGTCTTACCAAAACCCAAGTAGAGAGTGGAGACTACAAACATGGGGTGAGAGGCAAAAAGTTGATTTTGGCTTTTATTAATGGGTGGGAGAGGGTTGAGTGGGACTTGTAGATTTTAGGCTTCCCTCAGCTTTCTGTTTCTCTTATTTTCTATCAAACCAAACACAGCCTTAGGTGTGAGGGCGGGATTTTAGGATAGATGTGGATATATTAGTGGAGAGAAAAGGGATTTTAGGGATTGTGAGATTTTTATATTAGGAGTTGATTCTTAACCGGAAATAGGTAAGGATGTGCTCTACTGTTCTAAGACTTGCCAAGACTAGTGAACTCTTCATTGACTTCTTAACAAAGTTCCCTAGATTGGGTGAGCTTTTCGTAATTTATTGGCTTGTTTGGCCAAGTATCAGACAATGTAGCACTCACAAGTTCCAAAAAACTAGATCATATGCAGAAGGCTGATAAATTAGTTTCATTGGTTTCTACAAAAAGTGAAAACAAAGAAATTGGAAGTCATCTAACAGCATTTTTAACATGAGAACATGTCAAAGTATGCTACTTTAGAATCGGATATCTTAATCTAGAAAAACTTGACCACGAATTGCATATGGCTGCTATTACTCAGTTAAGTATAATAATACAGCATCTAAGAGTACTGAAACTGAGATCGTGATGTTTTTTTTTTTTCCTTATATTATTAGCAGTGTTGAATTTCATTCATCATAAAAAATATCTTGCTGACCACAAGGATCAGGCAAAAGTACAAACTGCCTAAGCTGACCAGACATTAAAAGTTAGAATTTTAGGTGTTATTTACAACAATAACCTTACTGCCCAGCAACCCCCCAACTGAACAAACAGTTCAGTTGTCGTCCAAAAGAAATCCTCTCTCTGACCACATCTGAAACAATTAACCCAAAGCTGACATCATGATGTTTCTTGGTCAGAACAAAAAATTTCAATATTTTGGCTATTACAAGTTTTTAATATCATCTGATGTCATGTTGGTGGCTTTTTTGTGGATATGATGAACTCAGTAATTTTTCTTTTCTTTTTAATCTGGGTGGGGGTAGTGGAAATAAAAGCTTTGGAAATTAGGATTTCAAGTTAAGTGAAGGAAGTTTTACATTGATTTACATCTGATTATTCCTGAGATTTTCTGACTCTATGGGATTCTACATTGTTTGTACTAAGACTTGCTTATATTACTACAGATGGTTCGCTGTTTATTATCAGTTGAGGGTATTAATGTTAATGCATTCAATAAGGCTGGAGAAACTGCACTTGATATTGCTGAGAAATCTGGAAATACAGAGATTGCCTCTATTCTAAAAGGAGCAGGGGCCACTACTGCTAAGGACCATGCAAACCCTCCAAGTCCAGTAAAGCAACTGAAGCAGACAGTTAGTGACATAAAACACGATGTTCAGTCACAACTGCAGCAGTCCCATCAAACTGGGGTTCGGGTACAGAAGATTGCAAAGAGGCTAAAGAAGCTTCACATAAGTGGCCTAAATAATGCTATAAACTCAGCTACAGTGGTCGCAGTCCTTATTGCAACTGTTGCTTTCGCAGCCATCTTTACTGTACCTGGTCAGTATGTTGAGGATGAAGTGGTTGGCTTATCACTTGGTCAAGCCCATATTGCAAATAATCCAGCTTTCCTGATCTTCTTCTTGTTTGACTCTCTGGCTCTTTTCATCTCCTTAGCCGTTGTGGTGGTCCAGACATCTGTTGTGGTAATCGAACAGAAGGCAAAGGAACAACTAATGTTTGTGATCAACAAACTCATGTGGCTAGCTTGCCTCTTCATATCAGTGGCTTTTATATCTCTAACATATATTGTGGTGGGTCATCATGCCCGATGGCTTGCTATCTATGCCACAGTAATTGGTGGCTCAATCATGCTGACTACTATTGGTTCCATGTGCTACTGTGTCATTTTACACCGGAAGGAGGAGTCAAATATGAGGAATATAAGGAGGGCATCTGAGAGCCGGTCCCGTTCATTCTCTGTATCTATGGTACCATCAGAGTCTGAACTAAATGAGTACAGGAGGATGTATGCAGTTTAGGTTTGTTTCAAGCTTCCCTTCGATACCCGATGGAGATCAAATTGACGTTTTACATCATCTTCCCGTTGATTTGGCCTATTAATTCGAGCTGAGTTGTAGAAGCAGAGATCATGGAGTAAGAAACAGATACTGTGTACTAATAATTCAAGGAATTGACCTCGAGCAGAAATCTATTATAATCTTTACCTGTCTTCAAACTCCAGACAATGAATTAGAGTTGCACTTGAATGTATAATGTATATAAGACAAACCTACATTAGGGTTCAGAGAGCAGTGGATGCTATAGATGATCTTTTTTGTTGCTTCTTCCAACATAGATGGTTGGATTGGTGAGCACTTGGGAGGTAATTCGATCCTGTAACTCTGCTTATTGTAATCCTCCAGGTGTTCCTTTTTTATTCCACTGAAATGTATACAGTCATCTCTCACAGACATGTGCACATGCGAACGTTGATTTCTGAATCCAGGAATGAAGTTACAAAGGGTTTTCTGTTTCACTTTTCACCCAGTTGAAAGGTGAAATTTTCTATTCTTTCTGACCATCCATGATCGTAGTATTCAGGTTCGTGCCTAAGCTTCTTTCTTTCCAACCATCCATCATTAAGGAGGCTCTTGAAAACAGCCAAGTCATTGAACTGAATGATCAGTTGGCATCCCTTCGAATATGGGGGCATGGGATCATACCGGCAAAACTGCAGGCTCTCTGTGGTAAGGTCAGTCAACCTCACATGTACCTTGTTCTGTCCCCATCCCTTAATCCCCCTGTAACGTACAATTGTAATACCAGAAGGAAAAAAAAAAAAAAAAGACTTGTTGCTTTGTGTTCTAGTGAATAAGTTAATTACCAACTGAGTGGTGGCCAATTGGTATGTTAGCTGGGTAGTTACAGTAGTCCCAGCGGATATGCAGATTCGAGTCCCGCCATTGCCACTTATTTCTGAGTGTTATTAAAGTGTTGTGTTAAATACCTAAAAAACAAAAGAATAAGTTAATTGTGTGCTCCTTAATGGCTGAAGCTGAAGCTGGGTCAATTACTATACCTATGACTATTTTAATTATTTTATCTATTGAAAATAATTCAGTTCAGCCACTTCAGTAGTTAAGTGCTCCCTAGAATATTAGGTATCTCTGTTTTTTAAAATTCACCACATTCATTGTTTCCAACTCATTTTTGTTGAAACTGAGGCAAAAATATGAAATCCAGAAATGTGGTTCGTGAGCAAATGAAATCAACCATATGAAGCTCGCCTACTCATCTAAAAGCATCAAATGGTAGCTAAAACATTGAACAGAACAGAACAGAACAGACCAGATTGAGAGTTGAGACTTGAAGGCGGGAGTAGAACCATACCTTGTTTGATCAAGTTACATCATGGAGAGGCTTGTTTACAGAATTACGGTAATGGATTAACCTTGTTTGAATTGTTTTCTCCCATAAATAGAACTGTTTTGTTTCAAGTGTCAAGTGTCACCAACGGAGATTGGAGGGAGATGTTGCATCTGGATCTCTTGCCCAAGTTGAGATGGAAGAACCCATTCTTCCGAGGCTGGATCTTCAGTTAAGATTTCTTTCTTGTGTCTACTCCCACCAGCAACCCAGACAATTTTTTAGCTTCCAGAGCAAACAAGAAATTGTAAGCTCCAGCGGAGAGAAATGGATGTTGGGAGCTCAAACTGAACCAAGTTTGCAATAGAGAAAAACTGAAATGGTTGAAGACTTGAAGCAAAGCGGAAATCCTGAGAAAGGAAGAATTTTGAAAGCGTCAATCTTCAAAAGATATCAGCAGGGCAGCATTTCCCTATATATTACCACAGGTCCTCCCTGTTGCGTTAAGCTGCTCTTCTTCCAGGAAGGTGACCAAGGTTCCATTTTGACTCTTTTGTGTGAACGCATGGCATTAGACCTTGAAGGGAAGACCAGTCGGTAACAGAATTACGTATGGGCGTATGGTCTCTTCCAATTCCATGAGACCATTGATCAAGAGATTCAGACTCAGGTCGCCTACAAACAAAATGTGAAATTGTGAACTGCTATCAGATTATCAGCAACTGACGACTGAGGTGTTTAGTCCCGATTGGGTTTTGGAGCCCGTCGCACACGTCTTATTTTGTAGCAAATTCGTCTCCAGAGCACTTCCAAAGTTCGATCATCATGGCTTGGCTGTGCTGCAACCAGTCACAGCACATTCTTGCGACCACTCAATAAAATACTACTGATCCCATTGGATCAGAAAGCAGATTTGTCCGTGTTTTTAATTGAAAACATATCTGTGTGAGCTCCGTTTCTCCTTGACTTGACGTTCCGTGACCGTACAAGGGCTGCATGGAAAAAAATGGCTGTCAAAGTTGGACAGACAGCCTACACCGACTTTCCTAGTCCCGGAAAGACGTTCCAATACCCTCCCAACACGATCTGACACACCACATCTCGTACATGGTGGGTCCTATTTTTATTGTGGGTTTCAATTGGCGAGATGTGCGATGTCAGATCATGTTGGAACGTCCTTTATTGGTACATTATCCCAACGTTTCTGCCCATACGACTGCACCCACGGGACAGCGACACAAGTGTTGTGAGATGTGCAGCTGCAGTGTCTAGTGGGTAGAAGAATCCGGTGGACAGGGAATCCAACCCCTCAACAGCCTGTGTTGATGGGATCTCCTACCAACAAAATATTTTTCAACACCCTTTTAATATTATCTAACACTATGTCTCTAGTCATGAGACTAGGACCCACCATGAAAGTGGGATTCATCATGTATGAGATGTGCGGTGTGAGATCATGTTGGAAGGGTGTTGGAACATCTTTGGTTGGTAGGAGAGCCAGACTCGAGCCCAATAGGAAAATAAGCATGGCCTTCCATGAAGTAGGAGAAACTATGATTGTCTACATTTGATAGCTTGTGTCAAGGTTTTAAAAATCAAATCGAATATGGAATTGTTTTGGCTACCGATTTTTAGGTCAAATGGTCTAACCATCCGATTTGAATGGACAGTCTGTTCTAATTAAAAAATTAAAATAAAAAATCATTGTCCGAGTCAACAGTTCGACTGCCCGGGTCAGTGGATCGTTGATCAAATCAATGGTTTTTGACCCAATAACGGTTTTAGGGTGAAATAGAACCAATTACCTGAAACTAATTCTTGGGTCAACTGGTCTAGCCGTCTGATCCAGTCCGATTTTCAAAACCATGGCGTGTGCTATCCATAGGGCTCTCCTTGTGTGACACATATCTATAATGGAAAGAGGAAAGACCGTAAGGCAAGTGGTCTCACCACAAGTTTTACACGAAGCGCTTTGGCCTTTAAGTCTTTACATATGTGAGACTTTTTCAGTTAAATCGCAAAAAAGGCCACTACTTTTTGATATAAGCATTACGCACTTCATTTTTTCTAGTGTAAATTCCTTTCTTCTTCAACACTCTTTAAAAATGCATAATCACCCTTATTGGCTGAAACCCACTCCATACCTCTTTCTTTGGTTCTTCCAATCCTTCTCTCATTAATTATGAATCATCTATTACTTTTAAAAAATAAAATCTCAAGCAACCCTTAACACATAGGTGCCATTTGGCAAGTCTTTTTTGAAAGATCTTCTAGAAATTTAACAATCAAAAGACGTAGTGGGTTTTTACATAAAGATCTTGGTAGGCCACATACCATTTGGTTGGAGGCACATCTTTCTATGCATCTTTCCACGTGAAGACAAGACAAAAAGAGGCAAAAAACTCCATATTCAATTCGAACTTCTCGCATCTTTTTTGGGGCACAGTCTTTCGATGGCTAGATTTTTCCCTAACAAAATAGGAAAAGATGAAAATGTGGGCTGCTGGGCTTCTAAACAGCCAACAGCCTGCGTGAAAAGGTGCACCAAACAAGACCATAGCTAACTCAACCACATTCCTCTCAATTGATTGCCTTAAATTTTCATATTTTCTCTAGGATTTCATTCTCAACATAGTGCTTCCCTCAATTAAAGATCTGAATCTCCTCTCTCCATTTGCATTCCACTACCACCACTACAAATGGTTCATCTTAGAATGATAGATGAACCATTGAATATGGAAACTATGTTCATCTCCGGGGTTACTACAGATTTTATTGACTCCAACATACCTTTTCTTAGTTCTCAAAGATTTTAACTACTGGTGCGGTTATTGGGTGAGCTACAGAGGTAGTTTCTAAGTTGCATATCATTTCCATTGATTTACATCAGATCAGTTTTATGAATCTGGATCGAATCCGTTATAACACCTTGACCTATCTTTACTATATATTGATTTGTAACAGTTGTGGATAATATAGAAGCATTTCTCATTCTCTTTTGCGTTGCTGCAAAATTGGTAAATTACAAACTGGCTTTTTAAAAACCAGCTTGTAAGATGGTTCCCCACAATTCCACAACAATTGCAGGGACATCTATTACAGTCTTACCTCTCACATTACATTTTCTGTGCATTTTAGAATAAAAATTAAAGATTACTTGATGTACTTTATTTTAAATTAATGCACTTTACACACCCACTATAGTATGTGTTGGCTCTTTTTCTTGGGTCTTGTCTAGTAAATAAGATTACTTGATGTACTTTATTTGAAGGGGGCATTTTTTTTGGATTGTGAGAGTGGGGAAAGTTGGTCAATGGGACTTTGGTTCCCATTGACCAAGAATTTCATGTTCTTTTTTTAGATTTATGTGGGGACCAAGGAAAGTTTATTTTCCTGGGTATCACTTACCTGGGGGGAAAGTTGCCAACACTTGAATGGGACAAAAATGCCCCTTTTAATAATGAAATTTTATGGATAAAATGTCCATTGCCTTATTTACATGAGAAATAAAAGAACATGGGTAAATGCACTTACCCAAGTAAGTGTTTCCAAGGAAAAACTTACCCAAGTAATTGCATTTACCCGGATAAGTAACTTACTGAAAAGGAATGAGGCCTAAATTAAGTGCATTTATCCATATTCTTTTATTTCCCAGGTAAATAAGACAATGACCATTTTAATCATAAAATGTCATTACTAAAAGGGGCAATTTTGTCCCAACCAAATGTTGGCAACTTTCCCTCATGTGGGAAAGTTACTTATCCACCTAGGGGATGGCTACTACTTACCTTAGGGAAAATAAATTTTCCATGGACCCCACATAAATCTGAAAAATGAACATGGGTTTCTTGGTCAATGGGTTTCTACAAATGGTCCCTTTGTAGAAAGGGATAGAAATACACGTAAAATGCACGAAGAAAATAAAAGACTACAAAGACCTAACAAAGGAATGACCCCATATATCAACCAAATGTATGAGGTCAAAGAAAGGATTGGTGAAGGAGGTCTCATAGAAACTAATGGTATCCGAGGTTTGCCAACCAATTTGCTGCAGAATTAGCTTCTCTAAACATGTGGTTGAAGGAGACGGTTAGCTTGTTCAATCTACAAACTTCATAGCATTCCTTAAGTAACGGAGACACATTCCAAGGTGGAACTTCGGGCCCTTTTAGCCCATTGATAATGATTTTCGAGTCCCCTTC